CCGTTGAGACGACACCGTATGAATTATGGTTTGGGAAGAAACCTAAGCTGTCGTTTCTAAAAGTTTGGGGATGCGATGCTTATGTCAAGAAACTTCAACCTGAAAAGCTCGAACCCAAGTCAGAAAAATGCGTCTTCATAGGATACCCTAAAGAAACTATTGGGTATACCTTCTACCTCAGATCCGAAGGCAAGATCTTTGTTGCCAAGAGTGGATCCTTTCTAGAGAAGGAGTTTCTCTCGAAAGAAGTAAGTGGGAGGAAAGTAGAACTTGATGAAGTATTACCTCTTGAACCGGAAAATGGCGCAGCTCAAGAAAATGTTCCTGATGTGCCTGCACCGACTAGAGAGGAAGTTAATGATGATGATCAAGATACTTCTGATCAAGCTCCTACTGAAATTCGTAGGTCCACAAGGACACGTTCCGCACCAGAGTGGTACGAGAACCCTGTCTTGGAAATCATGTTGTTAGACAACGGTGAACCTTCGAACTATGAAGAAGCGATGGCGGGCCCGGATTCCGACAAATGGCTGGAAGCCATGAAATCCGAGATAGGATCCATGTATGAAAACGAAGTATGGACTTTGACTGACTTGCCCGATGATCGGCGAGCCATAGAAAATAAATGGATCTTTAAGAAGAAGACAGACGCGGATGGTAATGTGACCATCCATAAAGCTCGGCTTGTCGCTAAGGGTTATCGACAAGTTCAAGGGGTTGACTACGATGAGACTTTCTCACCGGTAGCGAAGCTGAAGTCCGTCCGAATTATGTTAGCAATTGCCGCATACTATGATTATGAGATATGGCAAATGGACGTCAAAACGGCATTCCTTAATGGTTTCCTTAAGGAAGAATTGTATATGATGCAGCCGGAAGGTTTTGTCGATCCTAAGAATGCTGACAAGGTGTGCAAGCTCCAACGCTCGATTTATGGGCTGGTGCAAGCATCTCGGAGTTGGAACATTCGCTTTGATGAGATGATCAAAATGTTTGGGTTTACGCAGACTTATGGAGAAGCCTGCGTTTACAAGAAAGTGAGTGGGAGCTCTGTAGCATTTCTCATATTATATGTAGATGACATACTTTTGATGGGAAATGATATAGAACTCTTGGACAGCATTAAGGCCTACTTGAATAAGAGTTTTTTAATAAAGGACCTTGGAGAAGCTGCTTATATATTAGGCATCAAGATCTATAGAGATAGATCAAGACGCCTCATAGGTCTTTCACAAAGCACATACCTTGATAAGATATTGAAGAAGTTCAATATGGATCAGTCTAAGAAGGGGTTCTTGCCTGTGTTGCAAGGTGTGAAATTGAGCTCAGCTCAATGTCCGACCACGGCAGAAGATATAGAAGAGATGAGTGTCATCCTCTATGCCTCAGCCATAGGTTCTATTATGTATGCCATGCTGTGTACCAGACCTGATGTAAACCTTGCCGTAAGTTTGGTAGGAAGGTACCAAAGTAATCCCGGCAAGGAACACTGGACAGCGGTCAAGAATATCCTGAAGTACCTAAAAAGGACTAAGGAAATGTTTCTCATTTATGGAGGTGACGAAGAGCTCGTCGTAAAGGGTTACGTCGACGCTAGCTTCGACACAGATCTGGATGACTCAAAGTCACAAACCGGATACGTGTATATTTTGAATGGTGGGGCAGTAAGCTGGTGCAGTTGCAAGCAGAGCGTCGTGGCGGGATCTACATGTGAAGCGGAATACATGGCAGCCTCGGAGGCAGCGCATGAAGCAATTTGGGTGAAGGAGTTCATCACCAACCTAGGAGTCATACCCAATGCGTCGGGGCCAATCAAACTCTTCTGTGACAACACTGGAGCTATTGCACTTGCCAAAGAGCCCAGGTTTCACAAGAAGACCAGGCACATCAAGCGTCGCTTCAACTCCATTCGTGAAAATGTTCAAGATGGAGACATAGATATTTGTAAAGTACATACGGACCTAAATGTAGCAGATCCGTTGACTAAAGCTCTCCCTAGAGCAAAACATGATCAACACCAGAATTCTATGGGTGTTCGATTCATCACAATGTAACTAGATTATTGACTCTAGTGCAAGTGGGAGACTGTTGGAAATATGCCCTAGAGGCAATAATAAAAGCATTATTATTATATTTCCTTGTTCATGATAATTGTCTTTATTCATGCTATAATTGTGTTATCCGGAAATCGTAATACATGTGTGAATAATAGACACCAACATGTCCCTAGTAAGCCTCTAGTTGACTAGCTCGTTGATCAACAAATAGTCATGGTTTCCTGACTATGGACATTGGATGTCATTGATAACGAGATCACATCATTAGGAGAATGATGTGATGGACAAGACCCAATCCTAAACATAGCACAAGATCGTATAGTTCGTTTGCTAGAGTTTTTCCAATGTCAAGTATCCTTTCCTTAGACCATGAGATCGTGTAACTCCCGGATGCCGTAGGAGTGCTTTGGGTGTACCAAACGTCACAACGTAACTGGGTGACTATAAAGGTATACTACGGGTATCTCCGAAAGTGTCTGTTGGGTTGACACGGATCAAGACTGGGATTTGTCACTCCGTATGACGGAGAGGTATCACTGGGCCCACTCGGTAATGCATCATCATTATGAGCTCAAAGTGACCAAGTGTCTGGTCACGGGATCATGCATTACGGTACGAGTAAAGTGACTTGCCGGTAAACGAGATTGAACGAGGTATTGGGATACCGACGATCGAATCTCGGGCAAGTAACATACCGATTGACAAAGGGAATTGTATACGGGGTTGCTTGAATCCTCGACATCGTGGTTCATCTGATGAGATCATCGAGGAGCATGTGGGAGCTGACATGGGTATCCAGATCCCGCTGTTGGTTATTGACCGGAGAGCCATCTCGGTCATGTCTACATGTCTCCCGAACCCGTAGGGTCTACACACTTAAGGTTCGGTGACGCTAGGGTTGTAGGGATATGTATATGCAGTAACCCGAATGTTGTTCGGAGTCCTGGATGAGATCCCAGATATCACGAGGAGTTACGGAATGGTCCGGAGGTAAAGAATTATATATAGGAAGTGCTATTTCGGCCATCTGGACAAGTTTCGGGGTCACCGGTATTGTACTGGGACCACCGGAAGGGTCCCGGGGGTCCACTGGGTGGGGCCACCTATCCCGGAGGGCCCCATGGGCTGAAGTGGGGAGGGGAACCAGCCCTTAGTGGGCTGGTGCGCCCTCCAAGGCCCACCCCTTGCGCCTAGGGTTGAAACACTAGGGTGGGGGGGGGGCTTCCCACTTGCCTTGGGGGGCACTCCACCCGCTTGGCCGCCGCCCCCCCCCCTAGGAGATTGGATCTCCTAGGTCCGGCGCCCCCCCTAGGCCCCCTATATATAGTGGGGGGAGGGGAGGGAGGACATCTCACCCACGCCTTAGGTGCCTCCCTCTCCCTCTCCAACACCTCCTCCTTCTCCATAGAGCTTGGCGAAGCCCTACCGGAGTACTGCAGCTCCATCACCACCACGCCGTCGTGCTGCTGCTGGAGCCATCTTCCTCAACCTCTCCTTCCCCCTTGCTGGATCAAGAAGAAGGAGACGTTACGCTGACCGTACGTGTGTTGAACGCGGAGGTGCCGTCCGTTCGGCGCTAGGATCTCCGGTGATTTGGATCACGTCGAGTACGAATTCCTCATCCCCGTTCTTTGAACGCTTCCGCGCGTGATCTACAAAGGTATGTAGATGCAATCCAATCACTCATTGCTAGATGAACTCATAGATGGATCTTGGTGAAACCGTAGGAAATTTTTTGTTTTCTGCAACGTTCCCCAACACGGAGGGACTGCTAGTGTCCCCGACAGGCGGGCCAGAGGAGGACAAGCGCGCGCGTTCCGGCCGTCCGCGTGGTGTCTGTTTCACCCCTAAACCGGCGCAAGTTTGGGCCGGGAATGGGTCGAAAGCGGACACAAAGCGGACAAAAGTCCGTTTCCTCCCGCGCGCTGGGCCGCCTTTTTTGTCCCTTTTACCCCAAACGGACGGGGCCGGACAGGATAGGGTCGCGCGGTGGAGTTGGCCTAACCAAACCCTAGGAAAATTCGTAGAGGTCCTAGTACTTATTGTAAAAAGGGAAAAAAACATTTGAAGCATATTTTTGTTCACTTATTCCCAGCTACTCTTTTGAAACTAAATACTGTTGAGCATCAAGCACTTGTATGGCTTGGAATCAGAATGGTCACGGCCCTTTCATGGCTGGATGGAAATTTCTTATCCGTAAGGCCGGGTACTTTACAAATGTGTATTTGGCTTCATACTACAGACTGGATTTCATCGTTGAAGGTTGGAACAGATGGATTTTTTTTTATTGCTAGTTTTGAGAAGCAAGATATCTACTCGCTCAGCTACACAAGTTCCTCATTCCAAGTTTAGATGCTTTTCGTGGAAAAGTCGAACTGTTGCAACCAGTTGCTTTTACATCTAATATTCTCATTCCACAATGCAATGTGTGCCGCTCGCATAAAGTTGAACGAATCTTCAGCAATGCACCAACAATCGGAAGTTGGAAGAGATAGATCCAGCTCCAAATCACGTTACCAGCAACTGTAATAACTGGATTAACATGAAGCCCTGATAAAAGTTGCGAATTACAAAAGTTGCATTTGGTGTGTCTAGGACAGAAAACAGCAGTTTAAAGCTCAAGAGAAGCCACAATAAACAAAAGAACCATTGTGTTCACAGCTCACACCAAAGGTTATTTACAGATTCAAACACCTTCAAAACTTGGTATGCGTCTTTATTCCTACCAACCAAAGGGTGATACAGGACCGAAATAGAATCATCAGAAGCTTGCAACAAGTTTACACTGGTCAGGGAAAGTATATCGGCGATTCCCGATTATATTACAGTTCTGAAGCTTTGAGAGAATGGAGGGTCCCTGCAAATTTATTTCTACTCGGAAGACACCGCGCTGTGAGCTATACCCCTTATCAAACAACCGAAACGTTGACAGCCTTGCCAGGATTAGTAAACACGTGCCTTCGGCGGGAAAGTCTCGACTTCGTCATCCAAGGTGTTCATGTGAACTGGCCTGTATTCTAGTCTAACCTTTTCGTCCTCCCAGTACCTACATGAAAGATATTGTCAGATTCTTGATATGTGAAATTGCAAAGTATTTCTTTACGGGGAGAGTACTAAAGAGAAGACACTAACCCTAGCGAGTGCTTCATCCACTTGTCGTCATCTCTTGTCTGCGATGAAAGAGAGGAAATATATTGTTACAAAAAAGAAACCTGTGGTGCACACACAAGAGAGCACAAGTGATCAGAAGAGCAGCATACCTTGAAATCTTCGCGAGCATGAGCTCCTCTGCTCTCTTGGCGAGCCTCAGCTGAATGCATGGTTATGCATGCGTTTATTAGAAGATTTTCTAATTCTATGGTCTCTATCAAGTCCGAATTCCTGCAGAAACAAATGACAATTATTATGCCCAATTAGCAGAAATATTGAAAATAAGCTGAAGATAACACCATTTAATGAGACTCTTACCATATGAGACTTCTGTCACTGAGCTTGACATCATGGAAACTTTTCTGTGCTTCACTAATCAGCTCGCAACCTGATAAGTTCAAAGACCAGAGAAAAGCCATCAGTATACAACCTTTCATATACTTTAGTGCTGGAGTCTACTGTATCTATCTAACATGTTCACCACCTACTGCTAGATGGCCTCAAGATAACTTACAGTGAAGAACAAGACAAATGATGTATGCATACCTTCTGTTAGAGTTTCCTGTGTGCGGAAAACTGCAGCATTATTTTGCATAATACGTTGCATATTGAGGCGGATCTTCGAAGTAGGCAGTGATCCATTTGCATTTCTCAGCTTGTCCAACCAAGCGATGGTCTTCTCCCCTGCGTCTTTTTCAAGAGGTTTCTGTGTCTCTCCTATAATAAATATGGTGCACCATGGAGCGAGAATAAGCTAAGAGCCTAAGAGTAGTAAAACAACTAACAAAATACTAGTCAACAAGACATGAACTTGCCTGGCTTGGAAATCTCAGCAACCCTGTTTGCGCAAGCCCTCCCAAAGACAACAATGTCAAGAAGTGAATTTGCACCAAGACGGTTTGCACCATGAACAGATGCACAAGCTGCCTCCCCAGCAGCCATCAGACCAGGAATAATTGTGTCTGGGTTATCACCCTTGATATCCACCACCTAATGTGCAAAACAGCAGGACATTGGTTACAACATAGGCATATAATTATAAGAGAGTTCCATAATAGCAGCCATACTGCATATTCAAAGCATACCTGCCCATGATAATTTGTCGGGATACCACCCATATTATAATGCACAGTCGGCAAAACAGGAATAGGCTCTTTGGTGACATCAACACCAGCAAAAATAGCAGCAGTCTCAGATATACCAGGAAGCCTTTCCTTTAGAACTTCTGGAGGAAGATGGTTAAGGTGCAGGTAGAGATGGTCCTTCATTGGTCCTGAGGTTAAAAGATAGAAACAGCAAGTGATGTCAGAACAACCAACAACACCAGATCACCGCCTAAAGCATAATTGCATAAAACAAGAGAACTGAAACATACCTACACCACGTCCTTCTCTAATTTCCATAGTCATAGATCTTGAAACAACATCACGAGATGCAAGATCTTTGGCGGTAGGGGCATATCGTTCCATGAACCTCTCACCTTCGCTGTTCCTAAGAATACCACCTTCGCCCCGGGAACCTGAAAATTGAATGATGGCATAGTAATGTGAGAAAATTTGGTTGATTGCCTGATATTTCAATACTGACTGTAGAAATGTGCCATGCAAAAGCTAGAGTTAATACACATGTGACTACAGTAGGATTAAAAAAAAGTTTTAGTTATGTAAAACCTTCAGTTATAAGGCATCCAGCACCGTAAATGCCTGTAGGATGGAACTGCACAAACTCAAGATCCTGCAAATTCAACAGATAGATATAACCATATCATCTTGAGAAGTAGCTAAATCAGTTAGATTTAGTTCAGAAAGACTGACCTGAAGGGGTAACCCAGCACGTGCAACCATAGCATTGCCATCACCAGTACATGTGTGAGCTGAAGTAGCAGAGAAGTAAGCTCTGCCATAACCCTGTTGAGGTATAAAACAAGGCAGGGATAAGACAGGCAGTAAACAGAAAATGACAGTTAGAAGTTAAGACAGAGATTCTTACTCCAGTTGCTAAAATAGTATTTGTTGAACGGAAACGATGAAGGGTACCATCCTCCATGTTTAGTGCAATTATCCCCTGACAGGTGCCTGGAAAATAAGTATACATTAATCAGCAGTGGCCTAAACATGCGGTGCAGAAAGCAAGCACTATTTATAGACCTAATTATATCCACTGAAAGGGCTGATTAGCCAGTAGGTTTTAACTATCATGTAACAGATCTTGTCAACATTATAACAAGATCGGATACACAAGACAATCTTAGCGGCACTAAAAAGACAACGCATTAATGACCTGATGCCTGTAGAAAATATCTACAGCAACTGAACAAGCAAAGCAATTAAAAACCAAGGAAAAATAAGATCCAACAAATATCTGCATCAAGTCCAATAGAAAGCAAAGAAAGTTAATGCTAAAGGCAACAATCAAAGACTATTTTTCTTCAGTATGTCTACATCAAAATTACTACCACATAAAAGTAGGCAAATCTAGCAGAGGGATACATATCCTGGGTCTTGGATGGTACCAGAACACGACAAACAAATACGTACCTTCTTTGTCCATGATAAGGTCCAGCGCAAAATATTCAACAAAAAACTGAGTATTGTGCTTCATCGCTTGACCATAAAGTGTGTGTAGCATAGCATGCCCTGTTCTGTCAGCAGCACATGCGCATCGATAGGCCTGACCACCTGAAGATTAATTAGACACAGAAAAAAAAGATAAGAAAATATGTGACAGCTGCCTGTTTGCAACCTCATATTGATGATGGAAGGCAAATTACCTTTTCCAAAATCTAAGCTTTGGCCCCCAAAAGCACGTTGATAAATTTTTCCATCTTCGGTTCTGGAAAATGGTAATCCATAGTTCTCAAGCTCTATAACAGCCTTTGGTGCTTCTCTACACATATACTGGATAGCATCTTGGTCACCTGGAGATGAATAAGAATATCATGTCAAAGCTTCAAAGTCCAGGGGTCAAACAAAAAATATGCTACATTGTTGAAACATTGTCATGCATTTCTTAAACTGTTTCTCCCTGTAAACTTACCGAGCCAATCACTTCCTTTGACTGTATCATACATATGCCACCTCCAGTCATCTTCACTCATGTTTCCAAGAGCAGCGTTTATACCTCCCTGCACTCATAGGTGTTAATAGCAAAGAACAAAAACACATAGAGCATACCCAGAAGGCAACAGTGCAGAACAGTAAATCATCATCTAGACACATACAGCAAAGCCATGAATCTTTTAGCACTCCTACAAGACTAATACAAATTTGCCCGCATCCTTCAGTGAGTTCATATATTGATCCCTTGGTAGTGCGAATGATAGAAAAATCAAAAGTACAGACTATAGATAACTTTAATTAGCAATATTATGAAAAATGGATAGACAAAATAAACTAAATTACTGGAAAGAAAATATAAGAATGCACAAAGTTTTACAGATGATCATCCAATTAACAAACTTCATGTGACATCAGTCTTAAGTTAAACTAGAAGGTTAATAATCATGCAAATACCACAGTTGTCCCAAGTCCAACATCCCAAACTTCTGAATATACTTTAATACAAGTAAATTGCAGAGAGATTCATGACTTCAGTCTAGCAGGAAAGGTCAGTAAGAAAAAACATGGAATTCCCAAACAGGATATATTTCCAAAACAGAGAATAACAACCTCAAAGTGGTACAAATAAAATTGTGCACAATTCAAGTCTTCAACCAAATTCAGATTTTAATTGATCAAACTTGTGTCAAATATCGTATCGAGGTTTATCTACTAGGCATGCAAGTGTTGTTTCCAATTGATTCCAATTCCGTAACACACTTGCTTGTGTGAGAAATTCTGAATGTAAAAGTGATGCCTCCATGGAAGTAGCATATAGACTGATGCAACTTATAGTTCAAGGTCGAGCTAACTTTTCTTCTAAGCATGCTGCTACAGCTACACCACCTAAAAATCTGTGCAATGCAAATACAGTATTTCATAGTACGAAACTACGAATAGAACTCCTAGTGGGCCAATGGATACTTCATAATCCATCACAATTGACCCGTGTACTGGTCTTGAAAGTACAATGACCTTTGCAGCCAAAATAAAAGCCCCACAAAAGAAAGATAGATGCTCCTCTCGATTTATTTGTCCTGTCATGTGTACCATCTAACTCGATTGGTAATAAAAATTGAGTGTACCATAAAAGAGAAACGTATGTACAGCACCATAACATTCACTCAAAATACAGACCAATAAGCCCATGCACAACACGCAATCAATATTTTCTGTTTTGCAAATTTATTCGCATGGTAAATCTAGTGGCAGCATCAGCAAATCTAACTGAGGCTACATGGAAGCTAAGCAGGCAACCTGATAAACAAAATCTTCTAGTTTGCACCTTGCATCACACACAGAATACAGCAGAAGTCTGATAAAAAAAACAGGTAATAGAAAAGCAGGCTGTCAATTACCTGTGCTGCCACAGTATGCGACCGCGTGGGGAAGAGCTTGGTGATGCAGGCAGTGTTGAACCCATGCTCCGAGAGCCCAATCGCGGCCCTGAGACCCGCGCCTCCAGCTCCAACCACGACCGCATCATAGGTGTGATCCACCACCGTGTAGGACTGCAATTACAGACACCATACGCTCCAATCAGAACGAGGCGCGTTAAAATTTCCATCGCAATCTCATCACACAAAATCGAAAAGAGCAAATCAAGCAGCGTCTGATCTGGGCGCGCGTGCTGCGATTCGACGACCAACGGGCATCACGCTAAATCCTACTCTAGTCGTCGAGCTGAACCAGGCTATCGCCAAAACTATCCCCAGATATTATAACCATTTTTATATAAATAAAACCGCACTTCAAACACGACGAGGGGGGCATCGCCATCACCGCGACCGCATCGCGACCTCGGATCAAGGCATTACGTCACCAGAAGAGCGAAGGAAGAAAAAAAAAGCGGGCGAGGCCTTAGATGCGACGAATCGGGGCGACGGGAGGAGGCGAGGGGATACCGAGGTGGTGGAGAAGCGCCTGGACGCGGCGGCGGCGGCGGCCTTGGCCTCCCGGAGGCCCCGCGACACGCGGCTGCGCCACATCTCGCAGATCGGGGCGGCCCCTCGCGCGCGCGCGTGTAGGGTTCGGCTGTGG